TTCATCAACTATAATCATTTAATCATAATCAAAATTATCACTTTTAAATTGAATTAAACAAATTAACTTTTTGAAATATAAAATATAAAAATATTTGAAGTAAATTTAATAGAATGTCTATTTGTTAAGCTATTTAGTCCAGATAGTATTAAGCCGTTATGTCTATATAGTTAGTACAATATTTTGGCATAACTCAAGGAAACTAGTTATGGACTCCAATTAATAACTGGATATATCATGTTCATCTACTCAAGAATACTATTTCAAGTGTATACGAAAAACGTACAAGAACTTAAATTACAAATTGGTCATTTGAAGTTAATTACCGGAAAAACATACTTATATACATAACCTTGATCGATGGCTTGGTGAACAAAGTTCTCAAGTTGATGCAATCATAAACAAGTGTTGTAGTAAGCCAATATTCCTTATACTATATTTTATAATATTATGTCTCTTAATATTATATTAGTTTTACACACACATATTACCATAAGATAATAATGTATCACATTCTATATCGTTTTTGTTAATTATTACTTTTAATAGGTATTTTTATATTATTTTAATTCCTTATTCAATATCTACAAATTATTTACACAACAAATATTCAACATCTCAATGGATACTTTTCTCTTTTACAAAAACACCTTGAGTGCTATGTCAAACATTACATATTAATAGACGTAATATCATCCAATACTAATTTAAACATGATCTGACTTCACTGTTGAATACATTGATAGAGTTGGTTATTATTAACATTGAGTTATCTACATCGGGCTACTAATAAATTAAAACCTTTAACTTTTACAAGTGTCTACTTTATTTCCTTCGACAATTTACTTAATTCTAAAGTGGTATTTGTAACACGAGGTGGAACTCGTCGTTAAATCGTAACGAGTCAGTGTTTCCAAGTCTAGCTCGATACAGTGTAACATAAAACTCACCGTACGAATCTTCGTAGTTGTCGCGAATACGATAATGGCTCATGATGACGATCTAGGCCACGAGGAAACAGAACGAAAGTAAAAACTTATTAATCGCACTAGAAACGGATGGAAATCAGAAACGCGAATACGTACATTCAAATCGGGTGATGGGAAACTAACTAGCACAGTAATGTCGTCTGACGTGAAAACAAAACATGTGATATGTTGTTTACGGTTCTGGTTTATTTGATTAGAACGCGTTCCGCGGCCGATAGTGTAACCAACTCACTAAAAATATTGATCGTACGCTACTGCAATAACACCACTGGGCAGCGCACTCTCGACAGTCCGCCGAGCAACGTCCGGCGGTCGCCAAAACTCCGCGTATATCAATTGAAACGTGTACCCGAAAAAGTGGCTCGTGAGACAATTGAGGCACACTTTTACCTGAAATTTACCATTCTAATAATTTATTATAAGCCTATTATCAGTATTTAATAAATTATTAGTTATAATCTAATTATCTTTCAAAATATTCAAATTAACATATTTATTTATTTTAAATCGTAAAAGACAAAAGTTAATGATAAAAAAACTGATAACATAATTTGGGCACAAAAGTGCGAAGTATCGCACCAGTGCGGTACTACTAACTACACCTCTGCGGTCACCGCCATATACAACTGTCTAACATCACTAAAGTGGGGCCGCGAATTAATGAAATATTATGTGAATTCTCACTGAGTGGTGTTTACGTAGCGAACCGATGAGGTCCGAGAGTCAAAAATGTTGATGCTTCAGTAACTATATTGAAATAATAATAATACGTGGTGGGGGTAAGTTGAAATTATACAGAAGAATGAGGCTGATATAAATTAGCTTTAGTGGTATTAATCATTCTGTGCAATCTAAACAAAAAAACTGCACATTGATAATAGGAATCGATAATACGTCCTTATTTTCCATAAGTCATTACTTGTCCCACTATTACTATGGATAAAGTAAACTTTATCACCTATCACTTATTTATAACTTGAAATACCTATACAGATCCTAATACATTGAAAAATGTATATTGTACGTATATGTTGCGTTTACTAAGTATCTGCCCCACCACTTACTAAGTAATTCGGTTATTTCGACTGAAACCGAAAACCATGCAGATAATCGAAAACTGAGAACGTGAAATCTTGCCCCGAACCGTGACGCGCGTGTAGTGTTCGCTTTTTGTTCTTTCAATTCCGTTCTCGCGGCAATCCACCGCTCATAATACACTCTCGTGCACCAATCGCGTTCGGATCTTCGGTAAAGTTTCGGTCGGTAGACCATAGGCGAGCGCAGGGGGTATGCAGGATATGCAACTGCATACCCTAAACATAGAGCCTTCTTTCTAAAATTACAAAAAATTAATAAAATTATGACATATTTGGTTTTATGTATATCATGTGATTTTGTATTACATTATGATTTTTATTATATTTTTATATTCAGTCCCAGGCAGTTTAATTTATTTTTGAAACAAAAATCATATGCTATAATAACGATTTAATGTGTTAATGAAATTAAGAAGTACAATAATTCAAGCGAGATTAAATAGCTATCAACTACAGAACAAGAAATGGCTATAAATTAAAATCCCGAAAACATTATTGGTGATATTAAGAACTCAACTGTACGCAGAATCGTTTTATGATTAATTTTGATTATTTATCAAATTTATTTTGTTTTTCGTTTAAGTATATAATTACGTTTTTATTTATTTACCCTATTTAAACGTATTACTCAAACCATTTCAAGTGTTATATATTTAATTTTTTTTTTTTTCATAATTTATTTTAAATTTCAATTATGAAGACAGTTATAACGATTAAGAAATGGCTATTCAGTCACTTTTTTCAGGGAAAAAAAAATTAAAATTTTAAATTAAATAGTTATTTCGAATGCTTAAATTAACTTTCAGTTGGGGGGGGGG